CAGCCTGTGTGATCACGATGTGTCGAATGCATCAAGTATCCGGCATCTAAGAACAAAAAATAAAATCATTGTAAATGAGGGGGGGTACAGATTGGAGACCCAAGACCCATCTGGAGGCAACTGGACATCCCCTTGCCAGAAGGGTTGTGGGAAGGAGACAAGCCAGTCAGGGTGCAGTGTCGGGGGAAAATTAGGAGCTGATGCCAAGGCTTAAGTGAAGAGCAAATGTTTTGAGAATGTTGAGGGTAATGAATGTATAAATGTGCTTTACACAATTGATGTATGTATGGATTGTGATGAGTTGTATGAGCCCCCAATAAAATGATTTTTTTCAAAAGAGTTGTACGATCCCCCAATAAAATGATTTAAAAATTAAAAAAGAAAAGACAGGCACAGAGTGCTCAATGTTTAGACCTAGAGAACTCAATATGAACGGGGTTACCACTGCTGATTGGTGAGAACTCCTTCCTGCACTCCCCATGAGACTATATATATATGTATGCATGTATGTATATATGTGTATTTTTATATATTATATATTTTTATTGTGTGTATATTTTAAAATACATTTTTATTTTAATATAAAATATTTAAAAATTTAATTGCCATAGAGTGAGTTCCTACTCACAGCAACCTCAAGTTATTACAGAATATAACTGCATCACCTGGAGTCCAAGACTCTTATTTTTGAAAGCAGATTGCCAGGTGGGTGATTCAAACCTAGCATCCACTCAAGAGAGAAAGATGAGGCAGTCTGCTTCTATGAAGATTACTGCCTTGGAAATCTTCTGGGGCAATCCTACTCTGTCCTATAGTGTCTCTTTGCACTAGAATCTTCTATCTATGCAAAAAGCTACAGGTAACAGGCATAATGGAACAAAAGAGCAATATTATCTAAATTATGTTTTAAAGACAATCATCTGTCTCACCCTCATGAAGGAAACACAGAAGATGTAACAAAGTGTGGTGAAAAAAATAGATGGTGCCTGACTGTCAGAGAAAATAGCATCTCGGGTCTTAAAGACTTGTTTGCAAACAAGCAGCCAGCTAAGTGAGATATCAACTAAGCCCGCATGCAAGAAGCACACAAGCATCTGTGATCCAAGGATGGTAAATCTTATAAGCCAAGTCCTACAGCGGGAGTAGTATCAGAGCTTAAACTATGAGATTCTGGCATGCAGAAGGCTATGGATTACAGTGAAAACCCAAAATACTTTTGCAGAATCCGTACAAAGAATAAGGAAATGGTGATTTCCCTCTAATTATAATTGAGGGATGGGAATAACCTGGTTATCAGACAGAGAATATTGGAGAGACGACTATAGTAGATGAAAATGATGGATCTGACTTGAATGGTTAAAACCTTGGCCCTTGATCTCCCATCTGATACACTTTGGGCTTGATCTGATTTTTAATATTTTCTGTGTTTTTTCATATCTATGTTTAGCTCTCGTATTTTGTCCTTGTTGGTAGCCTTCTTGACTCTTTGTTATGTGTTTTTAAAATTTTTTTGGTATTTGAAACCCAGTATAGGTGAAACTATGGAGACAACTAGAATAAAGGTGTTCCTGGGGGAAATGGGGGACGTGGTGGTGGAGTTGGCGGGTAAGGGGGAACTTATTAAAGAGTTCAAGAAGAAAGAAAATGTTCTGAAACTGATTTTGATAGCAATTGTACAATAGTGCTTGATATGATTGAACTATGGAATGGTACAATGTCTGGATTGGCTCCGAATAAATTGGTTTGGGGAAAAAAGAGAGAAAATAAATCCACTCTGGTGGGTGGATTTGGGGAAGCAAAAGCAGGAACAGCACAATCGGTTGGAGGGTATGGCCATGGCCCCATGGAGAGATGACAATGCCCTAGGCAGTAGTTTGGTGGTATGACAATAACTGAGTAAACAATAACCCAGTAACTCCACTAAAGTTTTTCCAGACCTCTTTATACTCTTTGAAATGTAATTTTTAAGGTTAATCAGTTTTACATTTTATTTTTTAAAATAACATTTAAAAATAAATGTAACAACCTACTTGTTTTATTTATTTTTAAGTATACAATTCAGTGATATTATAAAGTAATATTTTAAAACTTCTGTATAGCTATAGATTTCTAGGCACCATGGTTTTTAAAAATCTAGGTTTATAAGGGAGCTTTAGACAATTAAGCCCTCACCCTCATAACATTTTTTTAAACTTTCCTCTGTTTATCCACTCTGCCTGACTCTATAATGCATATCACAACTTTACTAAAGATTGTTGATAGCTGTTTATTAAAATTTTTGTTATTTTTCATATTACAAAAGGTTTACTGAAGAAAATACAGTATAGTAAAAATATAAGGGGGAGAATACCCAGAGGAACGTATTAGTTCTTTTTTGTCTTTTCTATGTGTGGATATCTTTCTTTCCAGTGGCTGCTACTTTTTCAAGTAGTAAGCTTTGCAAGCAGTAGCTGCATCACCAACTCAATAGTTACGTGATCGGCTTGATAGACTTTTTCAAAGCATCCATTAAGGCATGGCATGCATTTCTTATTTTCCTTACATGAACTGACCACTGTTCTTAAAGGACCAGTCATCTTCCCATTC